CCGGGACTTTTTTTTGTTTCAGTTTGTCTATCTGTTTAATAACCATGCCCCCTCGGACAGTAATATTAGTTAACTTAAATTCATCAGGAACTAAATAATTGTTAATTACTGGAATCTCATTTACATTTTCCCTGTGTAAAAACTGACAAAAAATAGTCATTAAATAAGGAACACATTTCCAGTTCATATATCCGTCAGCTGTCCATTCCCAGATTTCAGAGGTCCTACTTTTTCCTTCACCTTCGTCCTATACACTTGAAAGAACCCCTTTGGATTAGTCTTGATTCATTAGCGATTTCTAATTTCATAGTCACTTTTAGCCTTTCTAATCGCCTTTTTTACTTCTCTTTTAAGCTGAACATTTTGGGGTCAGAAAGGTTAACCTCTCCTCTTCTGATGCGCCTATAAATTCCCCTTTTCCCCCCTAATAATGCTTTAGCCTCCTGTTAACCCATTTGGGATCGTTATTATTAGACCTAATTTCTCCTCTGGGGAATGTATATACTCTGGGCACTGTGTACTTTATTAAGAAAACAATCATAAAAGCAGATCCCTTCATTTTTCATAATATATTATCGTCAATAAAATCATTAGCTGATAACCCCAATCAAGATTAACAGATGTTCCCTAAGTCCATTATAATCGGCAGAACGAAAATCGGGATTTTACTGTATTATCATTATTCTTGCATTCCCCCAATTAATGCTAAAGGTGATGGATTTTGATCACTTGCGCCAAGCTCTTCAGTGATCTCCAGATTATTCACGAGTGTTTCCCTTATTTGACAAGACTAGGTCTAGCAAATTATTACCCCTGGTAGGTTCAGTTACACTCTGTTTCAGAAAACAGTCCTGACTTTTTTCCATGAAGTCACTGGACTCTAGATTACCTTCAAAGAATTCCAGTCAATTTGGCTAAATTAAAATCCCCTACTATGACTACGTTACTGTGTCCAAAGCCCTAACAATTTCGTCCCAAGAACCCTCCCTCTATCGTGACCCAAAGCCTGGAGGTCGGTAAAATACACCTAGAATTAGTTTTTTCTTGACCCCCCCACGAACCTACCCAAACAACCTGTTACTGCTCCATCTTTTTTTAAATACCTTTTTTTATGCAACAATTAATATTTTGTCGAACATACAATGCAACTCCTCCCCCCTTCCCATTACATCATCCACATTGAATAATTTAAATCCCTGAATATTACACTCACAGTCATATCCCGACTTTTTAAAATCATACCACGTTTCAGTTAATGCAATGATATCAAATTTTCCCAGCACATGCTCCCAAACGTAGTTCATTAATTTTATTTCTTGCACTTCTACGTTAGCATAAAATACCATCATATTTTTTTTTCTTCTGCACATTTTTCCTATTCATCTTTTTTTTTTACACAATTTCTAAAAATTATCATTACCCAGAGTTACTCCATGACAGTTACTATTAAGATTCTTAATATCAGAGCATAAGTCAAATATCCATACTCCATTTTTAATCATTTCTAAACCCATACCTCTAACTAACCCTTTAGTTTAAAGTCCTAACAACCCCCTCAACTGAGTTAGCAAGAAACCCACACCTGCCCTGGATAAGTGAACCCCATCCCTGGCATACATGTCATTTCGGCCAAGAAGTTGTCCCAGTTGTCAATGAAGGGAAACTGCATTACCCCTTAACGTGTTTATCCACCCAACAATTAATACCAATTGCTCTGGACAACCATTCATTACCAACACCTCTTCTTGGCAAAATGCCACATATAACGGGGCGCCCCCCCTTTTTTTCCTAAATCATGTCTAAAAGCTGTCCTGAACTTTCTAACTAAATCCTCACTTCTACGCTTGCCTACATCATTGCCTCCAGCACTGAGGCAAACAATAGGATTGATCCCATTACCGTTCATGATGTTGTCAAACCGCTAACAAAGTCCTCCATCCCACCCCCGGAAAGCATACCCTTTTTCTCCTACTCCTGTCCTTCAAGCAGAATGCCCTATCCAGTATCTAACCTGGCTATCCCCTACAACAACAATATCTTTCCTTCCTTGTTGTCGTTCGTCGTGACGATCCCAGTAGTCGACTCACATTCGTCGGTTAGCACCGAGAATGCGGGTTTGGAGGTTTCCACGGTTTCCACAGCAGTCCCCTTCTTCTTCATCGTTTCTGGCTTTCCAATTCGTCTTCTTGATCGTCAACTTCGTCGTCCCCTGCTGTCCAGCCACTGACCACGATCCCTTCTTTACCTGAGGACTCGAAACAGGAGGACTACTACGAATCCTCTTGTTTTCCTCGGTCAATCGCCGTATCTCCATCTTCGCTGCCTTCAATTCTTCCTTAAGTTGCTGGTAAAGTTGCTCGATGGAGGGCATCTTGGTTCAGTCCACGGGAGCAAACAAGACACTTCTTCACAGAGTTAAGTATAGGTCAGCACTCAAAGCACAGGTCACCACTCAAGAGCACACAAACAGGTCTTCACAGAGCTAAGTACACGTCACCACTGAACTAAGTACACGTCACCACTCCAAAGTACACGTCACCACAGTGGTGATTATTCTAACCTTCCTATGGTGTAGAAATATATCTAGTTGGACGAATCTTTTTTTGTGGCTAGCTGGTCCAGTGGCTAACGCGACGGTCTGGAGTTTTGAGACTCTCTGATCGCGGGTTTTATCCCCCCATGGTATGGTTAGCCTTTAACTGGTGGCTGTCACTGACTGGCGGTTCATACTGAGTAGCGATTAACTAGTGGCGGCTGTTACTGAGTAGCGACTATTGAGTGACGGCTGTTACTGAGTAGCGACTATTGAGTGACGGCTGTTAAGCAGTGGAGTCTTGTACAAGAATGGTATACAATACCGACAAGATGAAATTAAGACACATGTGCAACATCTGGGTATCTTTATTGTAGACGTTTCGCCATCCAGTGGCTTTATCAATACGTTAAAAGTATATAAGCGCCAGGCTCCTTGCTTCTGCTTCAGAATCTCCACGACTATGGTGCTCTTCGCACCAACTCCCAGGTTGAGGGCAAGTTATGTCCTGGAATTTGCATTGATAAAGCCACTGGATGGCGAAACGTCTACAGTAAAGATACCCCAATGTTGCACGTGTCTTAATTTCACAGTGGAGTCTTGAGCGAAAGCTGACTGGAAGACTACTAAGTGGCAGCTGTTATTGAGTGGCGGCTGTTACTGAATGGCGGCTAACTGATTGCTGTTACCAAGTGGCTGGATTCTTCCCGTCTGCCATGGTGGCCCGCAGTTTAAAGATCCGTCTCACGATAAGTTAACAAGACAGGAATGAACCTCCACTGCTGCTTGCGCTTAATGACCCCACACGAGTTTAGTGCTTCACATATACATAATATCATTGAGAGGAAGCCAGTGACTGAATGGCAGCCGACTACCGGCTGTCATGGAGCGGCTGCCAGCGCGCGTCTAGGGTGGGCCGGCGCCAGGTTACCAACATGGTGCTTTACCCGCTAGATTAAGCGTATTTCTGCTAATCTTCAGCGTCTGTTATTAGTAAACTGTGTGGGAACTCAGTTTTACTGCTTGTTTTTTTACTGAATTTAGCTCTGTTTTGCAACACTCTTAAAACCAAGCCAAGTATATATGTAATTAACAAAATCCTAAAAGGAAAACAAGAAAAACTGTTCTGTTTAGACCCTAGCTTGTGTTGTGTCTGTCACCCTTATACTTATTTTCACACTATTTACCCTGACTGTTTCATCATGACTCAGCGAATCAGAGTCAAAACTGGTAACTCAAAGTAGATGATACAAAATGTTTCTGTAAGCACGGTGAAGAACTATTCGATACACAGACAAGTGATGTAAGAAAAACAGAGGGAAGTATGTCTTGGTTTATGTCTGATTATTATTCATTACGATTAGTTGACCATTAAAGTGAACTCAGGAGGTCAAGGTGTAGTACAGTCGTTTCTGTACCTCTACCAGATTTTAGTAATAAAGATTTATTTTATTTCTTTGCATGTTTACAATATCGAAAGTCGCAAGTTGAAAGTAGATATTGAAAACATTAAATTCAGCTTAATAATACCTGGAGTTTACCTGGAGAGGATTTCGGGAGGTCAACGCCCCCGCGGCTCGGTCTGAGACCAGACCTCGGTTGGATCAAGGTCTTATCAACCAGGCTGTTACTGCTGACCGCACGCAAACTGACGTACGAACCACATCCCGGTTGGTCAGGTACTGTACCAATAACACTAGTTATTTGACCTCGTTGAACTATGTGACTGCAATGATAGTGCAATGTGCGATACTAATACCTTATAGAAATCCTTGAAAAGTAATGGACGTGACCTACAGACTCATTGCACATAGCACTGACAATACTTCTGTTATGATCGGTGTGAACAAGGAAGGACATACAAAATTAAAATCAGAATTTCCTTATCAGATTCTGGTTAGATGTTTGATTATTATTATTATAATCAAGGGGGAAGCGCTAAACCCGGAGGATTATACAGCGCCTGGGGGGGGGGATGTGGAAGGCATTCAGGCTTAATTCGGGGAACTGGAGCACAGATCCAATTCCCTAAATCAAGAGCCCCTCACCAACATCAAGGAACCTTCCTTGAGGGGTTAGATGTTTGAGTGTATCATGCCTGCAGCTTGCTGTCTCATGCATAGGAAAGGAACGACCACAACAAGGAACAGCTACACACACTAAGGGAGAGATTGCTGATTGGAATTTAGAAGACCCAGAATAATCGCCAGTACACTGGTGAACAAAAGCAATCAATGCATTACCTAATAATATGTTCAAATATACTGCTCAAATATGACCTATATCAAAATAGCTTAAGAATTAGCATTAGTGTGCACGAAGTGCCTAGTCACGATACTGGCCATCTTTGTATTTAAAATCCTATAACATGTAAACCACACATTGTAACCTTTACAAGGAAATAAATATTTGTATTTGTATTGCTATTTGCTAATAGAACATTTTATTTGGCAACTGTGGGCCGGCGTGGGACACCTTAGCTGTGGCTTGTACCAGTCTACTGACACACTCACCAAGGCGTATATATTAGATTTTGGTGTTATATATATCTCTTGTTTATATACTGACATCTTGACTGACTACATTCATCGGTAAGATATTCATGCATTCAAACTAAGGTAAATGTTATATCGCATTCCCATATAAAACACATGCTACCAATGTACGAATAAATCCGAAAACGGGATTATTTTTCAAGTGTAATTTCCTGCATTGCTAACCCTAAGCACGAACGTATGGTAAGCACATATATCGCAAGCTTATTTATTACCCTTGTACGTTCTTAGAGTAACGATACGCAATATATTGTAATGTGAATTTTAAATACTTGCTGGTATTAGTAACAAATTATGGTAGATAGCGGCTGTCATGGTACCGGTGTCTCCCATGATCGTTCATTTGTCGTGCATTTAGTCATTGCTGGTGTAATCTATATGCTTAATGTTAGTTAAGACTCATTTGCCATCGTTTAATATCTTTAACATAAATGATAATTTCGTTATTTGGTTGGTGTGGAAGACACTTGGGCAGGCATCACAGGGAACATTACTACCAACGCCATGTTGAGCCTCGCCTCCCGGTGTTTAGTTAGGGGCTCTTAATCCAAGGAATTGAAGTTACTTTCCTGCCCCCTCAGGGGAAGTTCATTGATTTCAGTCAAGGGCTCCTGGTCCAAAAAATTTGGTCTTATCACACTGATCTAATTAGACTGTCTGGCATTCCCCACTCATGACCCTAGTGGGTTTACTCTCCCCAGTAAATAGATTCTTCTTCCTCTGATTATGGACCCCAGTGGAAATAAATTACTGACGTTCTTGGGTTATCCTGGGTAATTTACACAAGTTACTTTTTATGATAAATGTACTTGTGTGTACCTGTACCTAAGTAAACTTTATCAAACCTGGTTACCTCCCATTTTTCAAGTACTGTAATTTACTACACCCCCCTAAAAAAAAAAGCGAATAGCCAGTAGCATACACAACATTTTAACTATAAAATGACCTCTGTTTAGAAATGAATACAGTAATAATAAATCTTGGTGTTTGGGAAGAGTATATTGCCTAATTGTTGTAATTGGGAAAATAATGAATAAACTTGCCCCAATTACCTGTTTTGGTTTTGCTGTCTGAACGGCTAGTTTATTGTGCACCCCATGCTCATCCTGTGAGCGGTAGTACAAAAAAAAATTACAGGTCTTAATTGGGCTTTATCGGACTCCACTAGGCATAGTTGCATCACAAAAATACATTACCCGCTTTGGTTATTACAAGTTCTTCATATGTACATATAGCTAAACACAATACAGTATGGCGTTAGTCTTAAAAATATTTAGGTAGTATTTTATTGTTTTAGTGGCAGTCATTATGACGTTAGTGTCTTTAAAAACAATTAACTTGCCTATTCTATGCAAAATGTAAACAGTCTCAAGCTTTCAGGCACTTTAAGAGTGACGTGATTTGACAAATCCTGTAGAGTTTGCATGGAGGAGTCTCTGAATGGTTGGATGTTTGGATACTTAAGATAGTGTTCCAATGTAAGTTTATTTAGGCACAGGTACAGTTGTCATACATAGTAATTTTATGTGTAAATTACGTAGGTTAACTCAAAAGGTAGATGAAGTGACTTATTTCCAGTGGGGTTCCTGTCTCTGCCCACAGACTGCATTTGATGTCATTGGCATCTGTACAAACAGTACCATGAGAAATACTTGTAGTCAAGGCTTAGTCTTGCAGCAACAGCATCTTGCAATCTGCTGTCATTGTTATCTTCTCTATAAATATAATTAACTTGGCACATTTCATTATGTTTTATAGTTGATCTGCTTCTTTCCTGTTTGTATTGTTTTGCTTCTTCAAACTCATTTGCTAGTTTATGATATTTTTTAAACTTCTGTATGAAAATAAAAATTATATTTGACATTATTTAATGCTTGCTTAGCTAAGCTATGAACTTGTTTCTGGAGACCTGTGGGAGGACTCCATAGAAGCTTAACTGTATGTAATCCTTTCCATAACACTGTATCAATCGCATCTGCTAGAAAAATGACAGGATGGATAATGAGAACCTTCAAAACTAGGGAGGCCAAGCCCATGATGACACTCTTCAGGTCACTTGTTCTATCTAGGCTGGAATATTGCTGCACACTAACAGCACCTTTCAAGGCAGGTGAAATTGCCGACCTAGAAAATGTACAGAGAACTTTCACGGCGCGCATAACGGAGATAAAACACCTCAATTATTGGGAGCGCTTGAGGTTCCTAAACCTGTATTCCCTGGAACGCAGGAGGGAGAGATACATGATTATATACACCTGGAAAATCCTAGAGGGACTAGTACCGAACTTGCACACGAGAATCAGTCACTACGAAAGCAAAAGACTTGGCAGACGATGCACCATCCCCCCAATGAAAAGCAGGGGTGTCACTAGCACGTTAAGAGACCATACAATAAGTGTCAGGGGCCCGAGACTGTTCAACTGCCTCCCAGCACACATAAGGGGGATTACCAACAGACCCCTGGCAGTCTTCAAGCTGGCACTGGACAAGCACCTAAAGTCGGTTCCGGATCAGCCGGGCTGTGGCTCGTACGTTGGTTTGCGTGCAGCCAGCAGCAACAGCCTGGTTGATCAGGCTCTGATCCACCAGGAGGCCTGGTCACAGACCGGGCCGCGGGGGCGTTGACCCCCGGAACTCTCTCCAGGTAAACTCCAGGTAATCTGTGCCTTGCTTCTTAAACAAGCATACTACATTTAAGTCTCAGGCTGTTGAAAGCAAGCAATGAGGAAAGCAACTTGTATAGCAAGTTGTCTTGTGATAAATGGTTTAGAAAACTGACATGTTGAAGAATGGGACATATGCAACATTTGGAAGTCTTTATTGAGGAAACGTTTTGCCAGTCAATGGCTTATTCGGTCCATTACAAAGAAGAACGATGGAAAAAGAGGCAATCGGTCTGGAATCGATGTGTTCAGTCCATTACTTTTGAAGAAAGTACAGCATATGCTGAATGGTTCCACTGTGATTCTGCCTCATCTCGCCAAACTACAGTATATATATGCTGCTTCTCCGAGCATATGCTGTACTTTCTTCAAGACTGATGGGCTGAACACATCATTTCCAGGCTGAGGGACTGATTACCTCAAACTCCTCCTCTTTTTCTATTGTTCATCTTTGTAATGGACTGAAGAAGCCACTGGTTGGCAAAATGTTTCCTCAATAAAGATTCCCAAATGTTGCACAAGTGTTTCATTTTTCAACATATTGGCTTCCTCAGTCAGGACCTGGTAATTTTAATAATTTTTTTCTTTCAATAATTTTTTTTTTTTAACAAATCAGCCATATCCCACCGAGGCAGGGTGACCTAAAAAGAAAAATGGAAGTTACTCTGTTTAAATTTAGTGTTATATACAGGAGAAGGGGTTACTAGTCCCTTGCTCCTCTTTTAAGAATACTGCATATAAAATTCAACATGGTTGGTGGGGAAAGGGCTGGGGAGGTGCCCTTAATTTTGGGGGCCCCAAGGCATATTGTGCCTTTCATGTAATCTTGTGTTGTACAGTACAATATCTGCCTCTTTTGGCAAGAGGATGTGTAGATACTAAAGATCGTAAGAAATGTTAACAACAGGTAATCTTGGTACAGAGCAAAGTCTTCAGTATTCATTGCTGTCCCTTCTACATTGGAATATAGATTGTACAAGAAATTACATAATAGTTGTCATGAATGTAAATATGTAATTGGTGGTTATTCCATTAAAACTTAGACTAATCATTTGCAGCTTTTTTGTGTTTGAAATGAACAGTATTCTTCATATTTAGCTTTCATTCACATATAATAAAACTAAAGTGGAACCTTGTTCGAACATACCGGACCTCGAACAAACAGGTGTTTGAACAATTTTGTTTAGAGAAATTAACCAGATCTTTGAACGTTTTTCTGGAGTCAAAACGTGTTTTGTTAAAAATTCAGTTGTAAACGAAAACTTTACAGGAAAGCCATTTCAAAAGTGCTTTAAAGTGACCTCTAACACTGACCTAACTCTCAGAGGCTTTTAGAAGAGTCGGTTCAACATCCTCCAGTGTGTTTCGGACATCAAACTTTTCGCAGTTCGAACACCACCTAGGAACCAATTAGGTTCAAACGCCGGGGTTCCACTATATTGTGTAAATTCACTTGACTGTTAATATCAACTACAATAATTATTTTTTTTTTTTCAGCAGTGTTCCTATATCATAAACATCCAAAGGAAGATTAAGAATTGGATCACATCGATTTCAGTACTACAGACACTCAGGATGGTAAGTACAAATGTTGTGTTGCACTGGCTACTTGGCAATAGGCAAATGTCCAGGATATTTAGAATTATATTGTGATTCCTATCTGGGAGAGAGTGAAAAAAATATTATTGTGGAATCTTGCCCTTCATGGAAGGTGATGGGATGTGTTGATGTTGGTGAAGGGCTCTTGATTCAAGAAACTGGAGTTACCCCTTGCCTTCCTTGAACCAATCTTGATCACCTCCAGGTTACCCAGGTGCTGTATAACCACAAATGGGTTTACTGCTTCATCATGAATACATCAGTGTTCAAGAATCTTGCTGCATATTTATGGGATATTTATTGTGGCTCCTTCCTGGTGGTGGAGAGGCTAACTACTTATAGTATCGAACATTTCTTTATATTTGGGTTTTGTGTGCTATTTGCCAAGTACTATTATATGTATGTTTGTAGCCCATGAAATATTTTTCCTGTCACCAAAGTTTGGCACACTATTTGTGTGTTCACTTAAGATTTTGTTAATACTCTTCAGTCTATTACTACAGCAACTCTGTTTAAAATTTTAGGGTAGTACAGTACCTATTATGACCATCATTGCTGTTTAGAAATGAAATAAAAAAAAACTGCAATACAATAATAACTATGGTATAGTGTTAACTAACAATCTAATGTTCTCCACAGGATGACTATAAACCAGAGGAATGTCATATCTGTAATAATAATTTTGATGAGGGGCAACGACCACGCTGTCTGCCATGTGGCCACACAATTTGCTCTCAGTGTATTGATAATGCTATAAAGAAAGATAAGCTCACCTGCCCCAGCTGCCAAGCCAATCACAAGGCTACAAATGTCACAGACTTCCCCATTAACTATGGTATGGAAGCTCTTATAAATAAACAGAAAAGTATTGAGATGTCACCAGCAGTATCAACAAAACGTCGTCAGGATTACCCACAAAGCATCAGCAAGAAGGTACGGTGCCTCTTACAAGAAGAGAAGACCAGTATCGGTAGCCTAATTTCTGGCTGTGAAGAGGTATTGACCGATCTAGGTGATTACCGTGGGCAGCTGAGTACCTGGAAGACTAGACACCACCAACTCAATGACAAACTTGCTGGTCTGGTAGCACAGAACAAGGCAGCAATAGAGCTCTTGGAAAAGGAGGATGATAGTGTAGTGAGTATGATGACAGAAGGAGAGAAAGGAAAGCAGCAACTACAGGCTAAGTTGGAGAGCCTTGACATAGCTGACACAGCACAGGAGGTCATTATGTCTATTGATGAGGCTGATCAGTGTAATGTTGAGGTTGAAAATTGGCTCCAGAAGTGCCAGGAAGTCTTCCCAGATGTGACTACTGTTCACACATCAGTAAAGGTATGATGTTATAGGCAACATTAATTAATGAGCCGAGTGTAGTAAATTTAAGAACCCTGCTAAACGTCAATCATTTGAACAGTAAAATTTAGATGTATTTATATCCTTGTTGCTCATAGTTAAGTAATGTTTATTGATAGCTCTAAACCAGCATCATTCAGAAATGGAATTTTTACAATGGGCCAAAATTGGATGTCTTAAAAAATTGGATGTCATTTAAACTTCAGCTCACTAAAAGTAAATTTTTACCGTCCTCTATATTCCTTGACTTAGTAATATATGCTTTATCATAGTGCAGATATTCTCAAGAAATTGTAATAAATTATTTAATGCTACTAGCGCATAATTTTCCATAAATGCATATAGTACAGTACATACATAAATTAGTGATTTGTCATTATGTACAGTATATACAGTATAGTATTTTGTCATATTCATGTATGCAGTGCCTCAGCCATGTTAAATTAGGTCATTCGGTAAGGGTCATTCAAATTGGTTTCATATAATACAAAAAGCTTGTGTGGCATTTATCCAACTGGTGGTTTAATCCTCCACTATCCATGTTTGTGTTGGTAATGACAGGTTCAGGAGACTATCAAGAAGGCCCTGACGATGATGACTACAGAGGCAGGTGCACCAGCTGCCCCCATCCACCTGCAAGACTTAGACTCCAAAATCATGGAGAAAGTTGATGAAATTACTGTAAACTGTGCAGAGGAGTTACATGTGAGTCTTAGTGCTATTTGAGTTTCTTTCTTTATAATTTAAATAAAGTTGATAACTTTATTGTCTTTGTTTTTCCACTACTTATAGCAAGTCTTAAATGCACAGGGATTTTTATAAAAGAATGAAGGATTGGACAGTGAATTATTCAATATTCAAAGTAACTCCTCGATGTGAAAATGTCCATCATTATAACATGTTCACTTCAAATTCTGGTACTGTCCACAAAAGCTCATATTCCTAGTAAGGTTCAGAAATATTTTGGCCATGGTTTGCTCCTAAATTGGCTTTTTATATGATAGACTTGTGTGGGATTAAACTTCAGTTTGTCTACAATTAGACCTAGCAATTTTCTGTTATTGTGCTATTTGAGTCATTGATTTTGAGGTCTAATTGTGAGCATGATTTGTTCCCACAAGATATATGGAATGTTTATTTATTATTAGGGTGATTTTGTTGATAATCATCCATGTGTGGATTATTTTCTTAAGATAATCATATGCTATTGTTTATTGACATGGGGTCTGGACTTGATATTAAAAGCTGTCACGAGCAAAGAGTATAAGTTTCAGATGCTGGGTGATGTTAAGCAGGTTATTGATATAGATGAAGAATATAGAAGGGCCCAGGAGGCTACCTTATTTAAGGGTAGGTGACATGGCTGCTTGATGTTGTCTGTTACTGAAGTGGAATTGGAAATGTGCAAGTTTAGAGTTATGTAAGCATAGGGAGATGTGCTGTTGGAGTGTGAGCAAAGTAACATTTATGAAGGGATTCAGGGAAACCGGCAGGCCGGACTTGAGTCCTGGAGATGGGAAGTACAGTGCCTGCACTCTGAAGGAGGGGTGTTAATGTTGCAGTTTAAAAACTGTAGTGTAAAGCACCCTTCTGGCAAGACAGTGATGGAGTGAATGATGGTGAAAGTTTTTCTTTTTCGGGCCACCCTGCCTTGGTGGGAATCGGCCGGTGTGATAATAAAAAAAATAAAAAAAAATCATATCAGACTAAATAATTAATTCTAGATTTAAGTGAAATGGATGAAATATACTGAACATGGTGAGAGATGTTCACAGTGGGTATGATAATCTCTGCAGGTGATAAGTTTGACACTCTCCACAGGTCGAACATCTACGCAGGATGAGTGAACCCATCAAGAGGCTGGTGGAGGCTGGCCGAGTGTTTGCTGTCCATCAAGACAAAGATGATATCCTCTCCTCAAAGATAACTTTACAAGATGGACAGTTGTGCCTCCACACACTTCTGCGACAGCCCCCGCCCGTGCATGCCCGCACAGTTCAGGTTACTATATTAAACTTCCCAGTCTTACTGAAATTAGTTTAATTTATCTGGATATGTTTGATGAATATTAATAACTACCTAAAAGTGTCATTAACATGTATTACATAATGATTTTTTTTTTATCCATGCAGCATGGCGACATTGTCGGCATACTGGACCCCTCATCCACCCTGGCATTTCTTGACTTGGGGTGGGAAAAGTCAACAAGAGGGAGAGTCCAAATCCGTCTGAGCCCTGATACCAGGCTGGCCCGTCAGTTTGTATTATTATGTACTGGCCAGCGGGGTCCCACCTACCACAATACAAAACTTATACACGTGGGTCTCAGGGGTCAGCCAGGGGAGTGTGTGGTGGGTGGGGACTATGAGCGTAATGATGGTTCTGGAGGAGCTCCACTGCTCCCTGACTTGCGGGGCGAGTACCGGAGATCAGGGAGTGCAGGGGCTGTGTTCTTTTGGTACAAGCCAGGAAGTGTCAGGAGTGCTAAATTTAGCATTATTACCAGGGACTGTAAAGAAGGTGCTACAGTACCAAATGTTTTCGGTGAGGTGGAGAGTGGCCTAGATGTCGCAAGAGCTGCCGCCAACCATACTGACATTACTGAGGTTGCTGTTGTGGACTGTGGCATTATACTGCCACTTTAGTTAGCTCTCTCCATCACTTCTGTTACAATCACTCCTGTGTCATCACTCATTAGTTAGTACTTGCATGTCATAATCAACTAATGATTTATCACAATTACTTCATTATTTGCATATCATATTGCCTCATGATCTCGTATGTTACCATTATTTTGTGTAAAACTTTGGCTCATTATCAATTACTTATCATTTCATTAACATTTATCAACAGGTTGCTACCACTTGTCACCATAATCTCACTACATACCACTTGTCATTATCCACTTCTACCATTTGTCATGACCCTGCCATTAATTTCACCATAAACATCTTGTCACCAACTTCGTCACCCTAACACTTGTCACCTTCACCTGCCATTGACCTTCCACCATCACTTTGCTAGTATGTACAAGTCATCAACTCTCGCTCATCACTTGCCAACCCCATAATGTATAAGTAGGCAGTAAACTCGCTATCACATGTGTCAACTGTGTTTTGTGTACTAGAGTAATGCTAAGAAAATTTCCTTCAGTTTATTTGTGCATAAACATTCTTAATTGAGTGCATGTGTGCTCGAAAAAAAAAAGACCAGGGACAGGATATTTGTTTTTTTGGTAACTACAAATATTGGTGTAAGGACAGTGTTGTTGAAAGCTTAAAGTTGCATTAGGCTTCTTATGTACACTAAAATACTACTCTCAGTGGCCAGTATTACTGAACTGGTAGAAAGGTATTGAATATTTGTAAGGCCAAGCATTCTATAATTTAGTATGTACAAAAATTTTATTTTTATGACTAGTGATTAATTTTGAATGATTCATCCATGTATTTTGAGGGGTCTCAATTTTAAATTTGTTCATTAAAGAAAACACGTGGTATGTAGAACGTTACATAGAAGTAATTTTGTTGAAATACTGTACCACTGACTGGAAATGCAACATGTATTTATGTTTACTCGAGTCCTTCATAAATGCAAACATTGTATGGTTGGTTGCATAGCTGAATTAAAAGAAAATTAGCAATTACACTGTCTTAATTTTGCATACCAAAATATGAATTATTTTTTAGTTTTAAGCAGAGTAATATTCTAATTGAATTTGAGTACAAGTTATACAAGAATTGACTTTTTTTTACTGATGCCATTCCTGAGTGTTATTTAATACAGTGTTGGGTCTAGTCACTAATAGAGAAGTATGTAGTGAGATTGGATGTGAGGGAAACAGTTATTATGACCAGTTGGTGGTATATAGTGGTGGTTTATGACATTCGTGGTATGTTACATTCTAGTAACCAAAGAGGTAACACAGCCACTGTTAGATTCTCACTGAGAATAATGTGATCATTAGTCTGCACTATACTAAGTCTCTCCTGAATAATTGTTATATAATATTTTCACCCACTATTTTTTTTTTTTTACTAGTGATAGAAACATTTCCAGTAGACTCAGACATAGCCATAGTATAAGTGAGAGTAGCAAAAAAAAAGAAAAAGAAAAGAAGTCCTATGTCAGAAGTCTCAGGATGCTGTGGACCTAGCTGGGACCCTCCTATGAACCACCAGTCTACCCATTTAGTTGAGTAAACTTAGGCAAACTTCAGTACAACACACTAATTTATATTTGAATTCATCATCATTCTCAACTTATTGTCTTTGTAGGCATTAAAAGTAATTTTGGAAGGCTAACTTTAATATGCTTTTCAAATTCTTGATTTTATAATAAATTCTGCACTGTCTATTCTGACTCGTGATGAACTACTTAGTAAAGAATTGTCTAGCTTTTTGTACTGTATAACCAATAAGAGTCGAGTGCTTTTTTTTTTTCTTTTACTGTAAGATTTTTTTTTTGTTTGTATGCAATAAATTGTTTACCAAATCAAAATCTTCTGTGAAAGTATTATTTTTTTATTTGTTTATTAACACAGCCATCTCCCACCAAGGCAGGGTGACCTGAAAAAGAAAAACTTTCATCATTCACTCTATCACTGTCTTGCCAGGTGTGCTTACACTACAGTCATAAAACTGCAACATTAACACCCCTCCTTCAGAGTGCAGACACTGTACTTCCCATCTTCAGGACTCGAGTCCAGCCTGCTGGTTTCCCTGAATCCCTTCATAAATGTTACCTTGCTCATACTCCAACAGCACATCAAGTCCTAAAACCTATTTGTCTCCATTCACTCCTATCAAACACGCTCATGCATGCTTGCTGGAAGTCGAAGTCCCTCGCACACATAACCTCCTTTACCCCCTCCCTCCAACCTTTCCTAGGCTGACCCCTACCCTGTTTTCCCTCCACTACAGATTTATATTCCCCTGTTGAGAGCCTCTATGCAGAAGCAAACGTTCCATCCTTATCCGATAGCCATGATGCCCATTGCCTTTGCTACTACGTATGCTCTCATGATCTCCACAATCCTTCCATTTATAGAATGGTCACTGATATTAGTAGACATTCTTTATTTGTTCGCCACCCGTTTACTCCGTCCCTTCTCTCTTCGCCTTCATTCGCTCTTGTCTTCTCTTCAATTACCACCTTTCTATGTTCATGTAGTATCTCACTTTTCCCTACCCCCCTGGGAAGTTCCAGCTGTTCAAGTCTCTTCTTTCTCTCTTCCTTGCTCGAAAGCCCAACTGTCTATGGTCGCTTCCTGCTCTCTTTTTTCTTGACCACTTCCACTCTCGTTCTCATGCCATTGCTGTGTACACAGATGGCTCCAAGTCTTCTGACGGCGTAGGATTCGCAGCAGTGTTTCCAGACAGCGTCGTACGAGGGCATTTACTATCTTCGGCTAGTATTTTTACTGCTGAATTGTATGCCATCCTTGCAGCACTTACCCGTATTGCATCTATGTTTGTGTCATCATTTGTGGTTGTCTCAGACTCCCTTAGCGCTTTACAGGCAGGCTATACAGAAATTTGATACACCTCACCCCTTAGTCCTCCGTATCCAACTTTGGCTACAGCGCATCTTTACCAAGCATAAAGATATTGTTTTTTGTTGGGTCCCTGGTCATGTTGACGTACAGGGCAATGAACAGGCAGACACTGCTGCGCGGTCAGCAGTACATGACCTACCAGTTTCATGTAGAGGTATTCCATTTACGGACTATTTTGCTGCAATATCTTCCCACCTTCACACCCGTTGGCAACAACGTTGGTCTACTATGCTCGGTAACAAACTTCAGTCTATTAAACCGAGTATAGGTTACTGGCCGTCTTCTTATCACCAGTGTCGAGGTTGGGAGACTACTCTCTCCCGTCTTCGCATTGGCCATACTCGTCTTACTCGTGGATATCTCATGGAGAGGCGCCCTGCTCCTCTGTGAGAATTGCCAGGCTCCATTATCAGTCAGCCACATTCTGTTGGACTGCCCACTTTATCAACGAGCACGCAGAATTAACCTCCGTCGTCATCTTCGCTCCGCTGCTCTCTACCTTCCCTTCTCGCTGATGGACCTACCTTTTATCCGGACTCTCTCATTGACTTTTTGACAACAACTGACTGACTTCACAAATTCTGATACCTTCAGCCCTTTCTACCTTAATCTCTTGCTACCCTCTACCCCCGTACTATCCCCTGCCCCGCTGTTTTCTGTAACCTACTGATCATCCCTCCTCCCTTCTGCCGCCCAATACCCTCGCTTCCTTCCCTACCCTGCAGCGCTGTATAGCCCTTGTGGCTTAGTGCTTCTTTTTGATTACAATAATAATAATAATACAGATTTATACACTTTCAAAGTAATTCTATTTTGTTCCATTCCCATCACGTCCGAACCACCTCAAAAACCCCTCCTCAGCCCTCTCAATAATAGTTTTGGCAATCCCGCACCTCCTAATTTCCAAACTATGAATTCTCTGTATTATATTCACACCACACATTGCCCTCAGACATGACATCTCCATTGCCTCCAGCCTCCTCCTTGTTGCAACATTCATCACACGTATTTCACACCCATATAAGTGTTGGTATAACTATACTCTCATACATTACCCTCTTTGCTTCCATGGACAAAGTTCTTTGTCTCCACAGACTCCTAAGTGCACCACTACCTTTTTCCCTCATCAATTCTATGATTCACCTCATCATAGACCCATCTGCTGACACATCCACTCCTAAATATCTGAATATGTTCACCTCCTCCTCCATACTCTCTCTCTCCAATCTGATATCCAGTCTTCCATTACCTAATTTATTTTGTTATCCTCATTGCCTTACTCTTTCCTATATTCACTTTTAATTTTCTTTTGCATACCCTACCAAGCTCATCCACCAACCTCTGCAACTTGTCTTCAGAATCTCCCAAAAGCACATTATCATCAGCAAAGAGCAATGGTGACAACTCCCACTTTGTTAGATTCTTTATCTTTTAACCCCACACCTCTTGCCAACACCTGAGCATTCACTTCTCTGACAACCCTATCTATGAATATATTGAACAACCATGGTGACATTACACATCCTTGTCTAAGGCCTACTTTTACTGGGTAATAATCTCCCTCCCACACTCTAACTTGAGCCTCATTATCCTCGTAAAAACTCTTCACTACTTTTCCATACATTTGTAACATCTGCCACATTGTGCCCCTATCCACCCAGTCATATGCCTTTTCTAAATAAATGCCACAAACAACCTCTTTACCCTTATCTAAATGCTGTTCACCTATATGTTTCACTGTAAACACTTGGTCTACACACCACCTACCTTTCCTAAAGACTCCTTGTTCATCTGCTATCCTACTCTTATTCTTAATTCTTTCAGTCAAGGTATGAACAGATGTCTTCAACTGCACCCAGTTCCTCACTGAATGCTTGCACACACTTGTTTGCACAGAACTGCTTAATGCCTCAAATGATGTAGTGGAAGTTTTAGCAGTAAAGGTCGAGTCTACAAGCCTCCGGATGCAACATCCCAGCAATTCCAGGAACAGCTGTTAAAAATTGACCACTGTGGAAAATCTTCCAGCTCCTGCACCCAACATCTTGCTCCTAGGGGATTTCAACTTAAGGCACCTAAAATGGAGGAATATAGCAAATAATATTGTTGCAGTAATAACACCAGGAGGCACTCTGATGAAAACAAGCACTCGAGTCACAAAGAGCTTTGTAATATCTATGCACAAAATTCAATTTAAACCAGCAAATAATAGAGCCTACTAAACTGGACCCCTCAAGGAAGGTTCCTTGATGTTGGTGAGGGGCTCTTGATTTAGGGAATTGGATCTGTGCTCCCAGTTCCCCGAAATTAGCCTGAATCCTTCCCACATCCCCCCCCCCCCCCCCGCAGGCGCTGTATAATCCTCCAGGTTTAGCGCTTCCCCCTTGATTATAATAATAATAATACTAAACTGGAGAACCCCTCAAGGAAGGTTCCTTGATGTTGGTGAGGGGTTCTTGATTTAGGGAATTGGATCTGTGCTCCAGTTCCCCGAATTAAGCCTGAATACCTTCCACATCCCCCCCCAGGCACTGTATAATCCTCCGGGTTTAGTGCTTCTCCTTGATTATAATAATAGACTGGAGAATACACTAGACTTCATCTTCACTAACAATGATGATCTGATAAGAAATGTCACCATATCAAAAACTATACGTACTCAGATCACAACATAATTGAGGTTCAGACATATATGCGTGGAGCTCCAGACCTACATAATGAGATTAGTCACGAGGGAGCATTCACCAAATTCAACTTCAATAACAAAAACAAAGTGGGACCAAGTAAACCAAGTCCTAACCGATATAAGCTGGGAAGATATACTAAGCAACACAGACCCCAACTTATGCCTAACAATAACATGGTGGGCACTTCCGATGTATGCACAAGGCTTATTCCTCTAGAAAAAGGAGGAGTAGATGTAAAAACAGAAAGAGACAAGGCGCTCCCTTTACAGGCGACGGAAAATGAATAACAGAGCGGCTAAAAGAGGACAAGTATATCTGAAATGCGTAGGAGACACAGGTCAGAGAAATAGCAAGTCATCGAACTTAGCTAAAAGAATCTATAGGAAGTCATGAATCGCGGGAAGAACAAAAAGCAATAAATGAAATCGAAAGAAACCCAGAGTAATTTCTTCTCCTATGCCAAATCAAATTCGAGAAACACGTCCAGTAATCGGGCCCCTACTTAAACAAAATGGGCCCTACACAATTACAGCAAGGAAATGATTGAGCTACTCAAGTCCCAATAAGACTCATTTTTATAGTCAAGCCGCTAACCAGACAGAGTCCGAAGAACAAAATGAAATTTTTTTTATGAGAGAGCCACAGAATTTTTTTGTTATTTATATTAGTTACACAAGCCTATCCGATGTTATCCTGACGGCCAAATGACTTCGAAACAGGCGATAAATGAGATGCCCATGCACTCGCCCCAGGGCCAGACTCACGAACTCCGTGGTTTATCAAGAAACTGCAAGAAGCCCCTATACACGAGCCTTTTTCCATCCTATGGAGAGGGAGCATGGACACGGGGGCGTCCCACAGTTACTAAAAACAACAAGACATATCCCTACTCTACAAAGGGGGCATTAAAGACAAAGCAAAGAACTACAACTGATAGCACTGAACATCCCATATCATAAAAAAAAAAATCTTGTGAAAGGGTCCTAAGAAGCAATAACACCACACATCTAGAAACCCATCAGTTACACAACCCAAGGGCAACTGGGTTTAGAACAGGTCGCTCCTGTCTGTGTCCAACTATTGGATCACTACGGACAAGGTTCCTAGATGCACTAGAAGGACAAAAAGAATTCAGATGTAATATATACAGACTTTGCAAAAGCCTTCACAAGTGTGGACCATGGCTAATACGCACAAAATGCGTGCTAAAGGAATAACAGGAAAGCGGTCCGATGGATCTATAATTTCCTCAGGTGTGCTA